TTCTTCCACCGTGCTTATTCAATCTGTACGCTGAGCAAATAATCGAGAAGCCGGATTATATGAAGAAGACAAATTAACAACCTGTGGTATGCAGATGACACAACCTTGCTAGCTGAAAGCAAAGAAGACTTAAAATGCTTTTTAAAAGCCTTTCATATGGGTTGCACTTCAATGTAAAGAAAATAAAAATCCTTACCACTGAACCAATAAATAACATCAAGATAAATGGAGAAACTATTGATATTTTCAAAGACTTTATTTTGCTTGGATCAACCATTAACATTCAAGGAAGCAGCAGTCAAGAAATCAAATGATTTATTGCATTAGGCAAATCTGCTATACAGTATTTAAGAGCAAAAACGTCAGTTTGAGAACTAAGGGGCACCTGACCCAAGCCATGGTATTTTAAACAGTCTCATATGCATGTGAAAATTGGACAATAAATAAGGAAGACCGCAGAAGAAATGATGTATCTGAGTTATGGTGTTGGAGGAGCATATTAAAAGTACCATGGACTGCCAAAAGAACAAACCATCATTTTTGGAAGACGTACAGACAGAATATTCCTTAGAAGCCAGGATGGTGAGATTTTTGTCTCTCATACTTCAGACATATCAAGAGGGACCAGTCCCTGGAAAAGGACATGTTTGGTAAAGTGGAGGGTAGGAGACAAAGAGGAAGACCCCCAATGAAATAGGATGGCACAGTGGCAGGTTCAGGCACACCAACGGTTGTGAATTTGGTGTAGGGCTGGGCAGTGTTTCGTTCTGTTGTGCATGCGGTCGCTATGCGTTAGTACCGACTCGATGGCACCTACCAACAATAATACCAATGACTGGGTATTAAATGAGTCCCTTCAGAAGCAGGAACAAGCAGGGGATCTCACTACCATCAAAAAAGAAGGGCCAGAAATAGAGCGTGTCCTTTGGACCTGAGGTCCTTAACTGCTGAACGTCCTTGATCCAGGAGACAGACAGCTGTCACACAGAGGAGGAGCAGCAGCAAAATCAAGAGCCAGAGGATGAGACAGATAGTGAACCTTCTAGCCAAGGATCAAGTAAACCTAAATGCCTCCAGGAAGGAGGTTCCCTTGCTGCTGAGTGAGGTGCCTCCAGGTTTGCTTACCTCCAGGGCTAGCACTGGGTACAGTTGGTCTGAAGCTTATGGCTTTGTAGCATGCCCTTTGGGCATTTATCGGCAGTGATAAAAGAGCTTTGTAACATTACCTAAACAGAGCAGAGGCCAAGGGGCCACAAGAGAGAGAGGCCTGCCTGCCTACACAGCTGAGAAGAGGAGCTCCTGATTAGAAGAACTATATGCTGAGCATTTCTGATCCTGAATTACAACCTGTTAACTTCCCTAACAAACCCCACAATCGTGAAACTGGTCACAGAATTCTGTGTGGCCATTGCAATGGATTACTGAGCCCAGCAGATGGGTAGAAAGTGCTACTTGGAGGAACAGTTGGTATCAGAATTGGTAGAAAAGGAGGTGGGACATGTCTGACCTCTACCTCCCAGGAATCACCCTTGGGTTGATTCTCCTTGCCCATTATGAAGCCAGAGGAAGTCAGATGCTACCACCACACCCTTCATACAATATTCTAGTAATGAAAAACGAAAAATTTTTAATTTGCAATTGCTTCAAAAACAATAAAGTACTTCGGAATAAACGTAACCAGAGAAAGAATAATAAACTGACAACATTGTTGACAGAAATTAAAGACAAAAATAATAAAGAAATTCCATGTTCACGGATTAGAACACTTTGTTATAGTTAAGGTGGCAATACTACCCAATGCAATCTATAGTATGAATGCAACCCCTCCCCAAAGTCCTCTCTTTTAAAAATAGACAAAATCTCTAAAACTCTCATCCTACAATTTATATGGAATCTGCAAGGGACCCTGAACAAGCCAAAACAATCTTTAAAAAGAAGAACACAGTTAGAGGACTTACACTTCCTGATTTCAAACTTAACAGAACAGTACATTAGTCAAGACTGTGTGGGACTGGCAAAAAAGAATTCAGAGTCCAGAAATAGTCAAGTGATTCTCAACAAGAGTACCAAGATCACTCAATGAAGAAAGAAATGAATCTCCAACAAACTGGGGGCAACTGGATATCCTCATGCAAAAGAATGAAATCCTCACATCATATATTCAAGTTAACTCAAAAATGGGTAAATGACCTAAATATAAGAACTATAAAACACATAGAAGAAAGCTTATGGGAAATGGATTCTTACATAAGACACCAAAAGCACATATAACAACAACAACAACAAAATAGATAAACTGGACTTCATCAATATTAAAAGCATTTGTGCATCAAGACACTTCACCAAAGTTGGGGGGGGGGCAAAAAATTGAAGAAAATATTTGCAAATAATATAATTGTTAAGATCCAGACATCTTAAAACTCAATTACAAAGGACAAAAATTTCAGGACAAAGGACCTGAATAGACATTTCTCAAAGATGATATATACATGCCCATACAGCATATGGAGTCCTGGTGTGGTGCTGCAGGATAAGCAATGGACTACTAACCTCAAGGTCAGCGGTTCAAACCCACCAGCCATTCCTTGGAATCACTTATACAGGGTCCCTATAATTCAGAATTTACTCAATGGTACTTAAACAAGAGGCACATGAAAGTTCTGAGAATTATTAATCACTAATATTGTTTAGTAAGGAGCTTTGGTAGCGTAGTGATTATAAATCGGGCTGTTAACTTCAGGGTCAGGAGTTTGAAACTACCAGCTGTTCCATGGGAGAAATATGAGGGTTTCTGCTCCCATAAAGATTCACAGCTTTGGAAACCCTGTACGGGTTCGCTATGAGTCAGAACCGACTCCACAGCACAAAACCACCAATGTTGTTAAGTGTCAGTGAAATACTATCAAGTCAGTCCCAACTCATAGCCACCTTGTACAGGGTTCCTGAGGCTTATATCTTGAGGGAACAGAAAGCCTCATGATTCTCCCCGGGAATGGCTGGTGGATGCGAACCACGGACCCTGCAGTTATTTTCATTAGGAAAATGCATACAAATCAAAACCAAAATGAGGTATTGCTTCAGCCACTGTTGTTGTTTAGTGCTGTCAAATCAGTTACGACTCAATGAACCTGTGTAGGGTTTCCAAGGACTGGCTGGTGAATTTCACCCAACAGCCTTGTGTTCACAGCACAGGGCTTATCCTACAGTGCCACATCGGGACTACTCACACCCACTAGAATGGCTATTGTCAGAAAAACGTAAAACAACAAGTTTTGTTAGGGATGAGAAAAATTACAATGCTCAAGAATTGTTGGTGGGAACTTAAAATGGTACAGCCACTGTGAAGAACAGTTTGGAGATTACCCAAAAAGTTGACCTAGCAATTCCATTCCTATGTAAATACAAAAAGAGAACTGAAAACAGGCATTCAAACAAAAACTGAGCACATGAATCTTCAATGCAACACTGTTCACAACAGTCAGAAAGTGGAAACAATCCAAGTGTCCATCAAGTAACAATGAATTCATACAGTGTGGTATGTACATAAAATGCCAGCTTTCTCAGCCATAGAAAGAAACGAAGCACAGATACATGCTATGACATGAATGAGCCTTGGAAAGATGATGCACAGCAAAAGAAGCCAGACACAAAGTGAAGTATCTATTACATGATTCCATTTATATTGTTGTTGTTGTTGTTATGTGCCGTGGAGTCGGTTCCGACTCATAGCGACCCTGTACAGGGTTCTAAGAATAATCAGTGGGTTTGAACCACTGACCTTGTGGTTAGTACTTATCCTACAGCTCTGTGCACAGCAGGACTCCGTAATCCCACCATGACCCTGATATGATATAGGAGAGATTTTCCAGGGTGTGACACGCAACACCTGGTATCTTACAAGAGTAAAAAGGAACAAGCCTTGAGCAGAAAAGGGAGGATCTGCGACCACAAAGACAGAGGAGCCAGGAGCAGAGAGCATGCTGTGGACCCTATGCTATGAAGCTCTGAGATCCAGGGAACAAATGACGTCAAGACACATGGACATCTCCAAGGAATGCTGGGCCTGCCTACAAGGTGCTGAAAGGATTTGTGATCTGAACACAGTGTCTAGACTCTGTAACTGTGAGCGAATAAATTTCTATCTGATAAAGCCATCTATCTGCTTGTGGTATTTCTGTTGTAGCAGCACAAGAGACTAAAACACTGACTTATTATTATTTTTTTTTTAGCGAAGTTAACATCTAAAATTACCCCTATGAGGAAAAGAAAGGAGATTTTTGGCTTTTGAATAATGTCTTGAAAATGTTCTTCTTCTCCCTAATTCTCTGTATTTCTTTTCCCATAATGTTATAGGATCATTATAGATGTAGTTCATTGACAGTAATTTAAATTTTGAGGTTTTGTGTCAACTTGACTGGACCAGGATTCCCGGTGGTTTGGCAGTAGAGATGTGGTTATCCCCATCGTGAAAACCAACACAGGCATATTTAACTCTATGATGATTGGCTATAAACAGCCAATCAATTGAAATGATGCTTCCATGTGGGTGTGGCCTGCTCACAATATGATGGATGTGCAGGAAAAGGTTACTCTCTTTTCTGATGGAGACCTGAGACTCTAAAATTGTGAGCCATTTCCTGGATATAAACTTCTCTTTATATGTACATTAGTTTAACTGGTTTAGCTTCTCTAGAAGATGTGTCTAAAACAGGAATCAAATCATTAGGTAAATAACACATAATTCTTCCTCACTCCAAAGAATACAAAATATATTTTACATGAAAAGAACAGTATGAATGAAAAAATATATACCCAAGTTCTCCAAGGGAAAATTGTTGTCAATTACTCAATAAATGATAATGTACTTGTTCTTAAAAGCTTTTTAAATCCCTCAGTTATTCTCCAATTTAAGGTGTTACAGAATAAACTGTATAAAACTTTCATCCACTTTTCTTCAAATGTCACTTTCACATAGTACACAAGGAATGGCTGATACTTACCTATCAAGGAAATCCTTATCGACCACAGCAGAAATGTCAAGAAGAGGATTTCCCAGTCCAAATAGAACATTCTCACTAAAAAGATACAAAATACAAATACAAGTTAGAAATATTTCTGAAATTAAGATGATGTAGAAAATACATGCATATAACAAAGTTATATTCACTTCATCTTGAAAATTAACCTAATTTCTAGTTTGTTAAATATTGGATGGCACTTAACAACAATTGGATGTATAATATAGCATTTTAGAGCTTATACAAAATTATTTAGAAAGGAGAGTATTTAGACTGGATGGAATAAAAAATGAAAGAAACCAGATCATATGAAATACCTTCCCATAAGATTAAATAGCTAATGATTACAACTAATTAAATTTATCTGATATTCTTTAGGAAAGAAGTCTATTATTCGGACTCATAGGATCAGCACTGGACTGAACCTTAAAGGTCGGCAGTTCAAACCCACCGCTGCTCCTTGGAAAGCCTATACAAGGTCACTATGTGACAGAACCGACTTAATAACCACCACCACAAGGTTCTACAGGTTGAATTTCTGGTAGCTTCCTATAAATATACCGCTGCAATCGCTTTTACATGGTCTTCATCAACATTTTATTTGCAAGTGATATTAATGATACTGTTTGATGATTTCTGCAATAAACTGAGTCATCTTTCTTTGGAATGGATCTCTTCCAGTCAGTTGGCCAGGTATGGCTGCCTTCCAAACTTTTTGTCATATACAAGTGAGCAAGCACCTTCACTGCTGCATCAATTTGTTGATAAATTTCTATTTGTCTATTACTGGAGCGGTCAAGGACTTCATTCTTCTTGATCAACCATCAACACTCATGGAAGCAGCAATCAAGAATTCATATGATGTATTGCATTAGGCAAATCTGCTGCACAAGACCTTTTTAAAGTGTTGAAGAGCTAAAATGTCAGCTCGAGGACTAAGGTGCGCCTGACCGAAACCATGGTATTTTCAATAACCTCATATGCATGCGAAAGCTGGACAGTGAATAGGGAAGACGGTACAATTGATGTTTTTGACTTATGGTGTTGGAGGAGAATATTGAAAGTGCCATGGGCTGCCAAAAGAACAAACAGATCTGTGTTGAAAGAAGTACAGCCAGAGTGCTCCTTGGAGGCCAGGATGGCCAAACGTCGTCTCTCATAGTTCGGACATATTGTCAGGAGGGACCAATAGCTGGAGAAGGATATCATGTTTGGTAAGGTGGAGGGTCAGAGAAAAAGAGGAAGACCCCCAGTGAGATGGACTGGCAAAATGGCAGCATCAATGGGCTCAAGCGTGACAATTGTGAGGTCGGCCCAGGACCGAGCAGCGTTTTGTTGTGTTGTGCATAGGGTCGCTATGAGTCAGCACCAACTCGATGGCACCTAACAACAACAACGTTCCTGGAGCTTTGTTTATCACCACTGCCTTCAGTGCTCTTGGACTTCTCTCCTCAGTACCATTGTTTCTTGATTATACAGTGCTTCTTGAAATGACTGGGACATCGATCAATTATTTTGGGTACAGTGACTATTTGTTTCCATTTGTTGAATATTTCCAGTGTCATTCAGTCTTTTGATCATCGAACTTTTCAATACTGCAACCTGAGGCTTGCATTTTTCCTTTAATTCTTTCAGTTTGAGAAATGCTGAGTATATTCTTCCCTTTTGGTTTTCTAACTCCAGGTCTTTGCACATTTCATTATAATATTTGACTTTGTCTTCTTAAACTGTCCTCTTTTACTTCATCATTTCTCCCAGTCGCTTGAGCCTCTTTATGTTTTAGAGTAAATTTCAAGAGTCTTCTCCAACACCCACTTTGGTCTTTTCTTTCTTTCTTTCCTGTCTTTTTGGTGACGTTTTGTTTCATTCATGTATGATGTTCTTTGTAATCCACAACTTCTCTAGTCTTCTGTCATTAGTATCTAATACATCAAATCTATTCTTGAAATGGTCTCTAAATTCAGGTGGGATACACTCACAGTGTTTATTTTGGCTCTTGTGAACTTGTTTTAATTTTCTTCAGCTTTAGTCTAAACTTGCTTATGATCAATTGATGGCCTGTTTCCCAGTCAGCCTCTGGCCTTGTCTTGACTTCTCTAGGATCTCTTCCAACAGATGTAGTCAATTTGATTCCTGTGTATCCCATCTGATAAGGTCCACGTGTATAGTTGCCATTAATGTTATTGAAAAACGGAATTTGCAGTACATAAGTCATTGGTTTTGCAAAATTCTATTCTTTGATCTTCACAGTACGTCACATTTTCCAACTAAGAATATTTCCTCTTTGTTTTCAACTTTCACATTCCAATTACCAGTAATTTACAATGTACCATGATTGCAAGTTTAATCAATTTGAGATTGATGAAGTTCGTTGTGGTGATGGTGGTAGTTTTAAGTATCCTTGAGTGGGTTCCAACTTACAGAGGTCCTGTATAGGGTGGTTTCCTCAGGTTGCTGGTGGGTTTGAACCGCCAGCTTTTTGGTTAGCAATTCAGTGCTTACTCACAGCACTACAACAGGACTCCATTCTTCAATTTCATTATCACTAGCTGTTGTGATTGGTGCAAATTGGAGTAACAGTAGTATCAACTGGTCTTCCTTGTAGGTGTATGGATATTATCCTATAACAGACAACATCGTACTTTAAAATAGATCAGGAGATGCTCTTTGTAATAATGAATAAAACACCATTCCTCCTGAATTTGTTGTTCCTAGCATAGTAAATGTTGTTGTTAAGTGCTGTTGAGTCAGTTCCGACCCATAGCAATCCTGTATAGGGTTGCCAAGGGGTGGTTGGTGAGCTTCAACTACTGACCTTGCAGTTCAAACAGCTTTGCAGCTGGTGCATTAACCCACAGTGCCAAACCAGGACTCCTAGCCATGTTATTGCTGTTAGGTGCCATCCAGACAGTATAGACTCCTATCAACCCCATGCACAAGAGAACGAAACACTGCCCAGACCTGGGCCAACCTCACAATTGTTGCCACGCTTGAGTACACTGATGCTGCCACTTTGCCAATCCATCTCGCTGGGGGCTCTTCCTCTTTATTTCTGACCCTCCACCTTGTCAAACATGATATCCATCTCCTGTGACTGGTCTTTGCTGACACTATGTCTTAAGTATGAGAGACGAAGTCTAGCCATCCTGGCCTCCAAGGAGTACTCTGGCTGTACTTCTTTCAACACAGATCTGTTTGTTCTTTTGGCAGCCCATGGCACTTTCAATATTCTCCTCTAACACCATAACTCAAAAGTATCAATTGTTCTATGCTCTTCCTTATTCACTGTCCAACTTTCACATGCATATGAGATTATTAAAAATACCATGGCTTGGGTCAGGCATACCTTAGTGCTCAAGCTGACAACTTTGTTCTTCAAAACTTTAAAAAAGGTCTTGTGCAGCAGATTTGCCTAACGCAATACGTCATTTGATTTCTTGACTGCTGCTTCCTTGAGTGTTGATGATTGAGCCAAGAAAAATGAATTCTTTGACAATTTCAATCTTTTCTCCGTTGATAAGAAAGTTGTTTATTGGTCCAGTGGTGAGGATTTTTGTTTTCTTTACATTGAGATTCAATCCATACTGAAGGCTGTGGTCTTTGATCTTCATCAGTAAGTATTTTAAGTTCTCTTCACTTTCTGCAAGCAAGGGTATATCATCTGCATATCATAGGTTGTTAATGAGTTTTCCTCCAATCCTGCTGCCACGTTTTTCTTCATAGAACCCAGCTTCTCAGATTATTTGCTCAGCATACAGTTGAATAAATTTGGTTTAAGAATACAACCTTGTCGCACACCTTTCTTAATTTTAAACCATTCTGTGTTTCCATGTTCTGTTCAAACAACTGCCTCTTGGTCCATGTACAGATTCCTCATGAACACAAGTGTTCTGGAATACTCAAACTTCACAATGTTGTCCATAGGTTGTCATGATCCACACAACTGAAAGCCTTTGCATAGTCAATAAAGCACAGGTAAACATCCTTCTGTTATTCTCTGCTTTCAGCCAAGATCCATCCGATGTTAGCAATGACATCCCTCATTCCATGTGCTCTTCTGAATCCATTCCATGACCTCTTCTGAAGGCTTGAACCTCTGGAAGTTCTCTGTCAATGTATGCTTGCAATCATTTCTGTATTACCTCTAGTAAAACTTTGCTCACATGGGGTATCAAAGATACTGTCTGATGATTTCCGTATTCTGTTGGGTCACCTCTCTTTGGAATGGGCACAAATAAGGATCTCTTCCAATCAGTTGGCCAGATAGTTATCTTCCAAATTTCTTGGTATAGATGAGTGAATGCCTCCAATGCCACCTCATTTTCTTCCATCAATTCCCAGTGCCTTGTTCTTTGCCAATTCCTTCAATGCACCATGGACTTCTTCCTTCAGTATCATTGGTTCTTGATCATATGCTATCTCCTGAAACGGTCGAACATAGACCATTTCCTTTTGGTACAGTGACTGTGTATTCCTTCTATCTTCTTTGGATGCTTTCTGCATCATTCAATAATCTGCCCAGAGAATCCTTCAATGACTAATGTTGAAGCCTGAATTTTTTCTTGCTTGAGAAATGCTGAGCGTGTTCTTCCCTTTTGGTTTTCTAATTCCAGATCTTTGTACATTTCATTGTAATATTTGACTTTGTCTTCTCAAACTGATCTTTGAGCTTTTCTGTTCAACTCTTATAGCTCCTCATTTCTTCCATTTGCTTTAGCATCTCCACACTGGAAAGCAAATTTCAGGATCTCTTCTGACATCCATTTTGATCTTTTCCTTCTTTCTTGTTTTCTTAATGGCTTTTTGTTTTCTTCCTGAATGATGTTCTTGATGTCATCCCACAACTCTTCTGGTCTTTGGTCTTTAGTGTCTAACGTATCAAGTCTGTTCTTCAGATGATCTCTAAATTCAGGTGGGATATATTCTAGGTCATATTTTGGTTCTCGTGGACTTTTCATTTTCTTTAGCTTCAGTCTGAATTTGCATATGAGCAATTGATAGTCTGTTCCACAATCTGCCCCAATCCATCTTGCTGGGGGTCTTGCTCTTTTTCTCTG